CCCGCGCAGGATTGCACGCTGTGTATCGCAAGGGAATGTGCCCTCTATGTTGTACATTAAATCCTTTGTTTACCAAGATTGTTCGGTCAAGATGGTTGGAGATTGTTGGCCTCGATACTTTTTTGCGTGTTATACATATCATTTTGGTGTCGGTCCACAAACACGAAGCAAACGGATCTTGGTCATTGTACAACAATCTTAATTCCCTTCTTAGTTAACAACATACATATACGTACCAATTTTTCCGTTCGAGAAGTGTTTTTGGATTCAAGACTTCTGTCCTCTGATGCCATTGGTGACGAAGAGGGTGTTGATACTGTTACCGGTGGTGGTAATGAAAGTGATGCAGTTTTTAAGGATGATCCCGGTAATGATAACGATGCTGATGACGATGAAGATGACCAAAAAGATGATGACGATAATGAAAGTAATGATGCTGCGGCTACTGATGTTGTCGTGGCTGTTATCGACGACATGTTCTTGGATTCAAGACTTCTGTCCTCTGATGCCATTGGTGATGATGAAGGTGTCGACGCTGTTGGCAAAGGTGATGTTACAGTTTTTAAGGGTGATCCCGAAAATGATAATGATGCTAATGACGATGAAGACGACCAAGAAGATGTTTTCGTGGCTGTCAGGGATGGAGACGGTGGTGGAGATGATGATAGCGGTGTTGATTGTTCTAGCGGAGTTCAGTGTATGAGAATGTAAGATCTTAGTATTAAAATATGATGGAACTAAGATCACATTCCGCGCCTGCTCTTAATACACAGCTGACAAGGTTCTCTATGCAGATTATCATTCTACAGAACTCACCTCAGAATAGTATAGATGAAGCGTAATTGAGAGCGAAAATTGTTGCTAATCATAGGTTTTGTTTCATTATCTTGTCGTTATGTCTAAGCAATACCGGCCACTGTAACAAAAGCTACTTCAGAATGAACACTCACCTGAGCACAAATGCCTGCAAGGATGATCCAACGCTGTTCTGAGCGCTACAGCTAGAGTAGCTTTCTCTGTCGTAGTAGCAGTAGAGATGCACTTGTTATCGTCGGTGGAACAAATGTTCTCGCAGTCGTTTAGCTCATTTGCAACTTGACACTTCGGCTGGCAGCTGTGTTGATTCCCTTTACAATGATGCGCACAGTTTGGTCCATGGCATTCCAGTGTACATTTACCATGGTTGCGTATCTGCTTACAAGAGTGATTGCTGTGGCATTGCAGACTACATTTACTAGTTCCAGAATTGCATTTCTGCTCACAATTCTGTCCTTGGCATTCCATATCACATTCACCATGGCTGCATATCTGCTTACAATGTAGTTTGCTGTGGCATTGCAGACTACATTTACTAGCTCTAGAGTTGCATATCTGTTTACATTTCTGTCCATGGCATTCCATATCACATTCGCCATTGTTGCAATTCTGTGTACATTGTTGTTTGCTTTCACATCGCAGACTGCAGTTACTAGCACCAGAATTGCATTTCTGCTCACAGTTCTGACCGTGGCACTCCATATCACATTCGCCAGTGTTGCAAATCTGCTGACAACAGTTTGCGCGGTCACATTCCAGACGGCATTTACTTGCACCAGAGTTGCATTTCTGCTCACAATTCTGACCGTAGCTTTCCATATCACATTCACCATCGTTGCAATTCTGCTCAAGTCTCGGTCTGCTTTCACAATCCAGACGACAAGTACTACTACCACATAGCTGATCACACTTTTGTGCGCTGTCACATCCCAGAGTACAATTATAATCATTGCATTGCTGGGCATTAAGTGCATGCGCAGGCGACTTGCAGTCGACTGTCTTATTCAAAGCATGGCACGAACTTTGACACCAGAGGGCTCCAGATGCCATCCTGCACTTTTCATCTGTAACGTTAATAAAACAAACAACAAAAAGCGTTGTACATAACAAACACGAAAGTGAACGAACAAAAGAACGAATGAATAAATATCTGACTAATTGACTGAACTAAATGAATGCAATGGAATGAATCACTTTCCCAAAACATTTAGGAAGTTGCCCAAATTTTTACAAAACAATCAAGCAAAAAACGAGGGTCATAGGATTCACTAACATAGGCCTGCATACGGAGTGAAAATAATGTTACACTTGAATCCACAGCGAGATTAATAATTTTGCATGTGAATCTATCACGTTACAAGTGTAACACGTTAAAAGAAATAACTGTCTCTGCCATTGTAATGGACGTAAATATCAATAATACGTGACATGCACGAACCTTATTGTATATTGATTACCAGCATTGTTATTTTCTGCTTTTAGTGACCTTGTTATTTCTCGAAACAAATGGAAACGTTTTAAAAGCCTTCGCCCAAATTTCTCTTGTTAGTGTAGTGTAAAAAAACTGTGCCAGCTATACGTTACAAAATAAATGATTGAATTTTTAGTCCGGCCTGCCAAAACTCAATTGGCTTGTAGAACACAAGCAAATCAGGAGGCCTGAAAGCTGCTGCATATACAGCAGTAATCAGGAAAGTACCCCGGCATTCCTTATGGCCTCCAAGTTTTCCCACCGAAAGCCTAGCCGACAACGCTACGCGGAGCGTCAATAATTACCATTCAGTTCTGTTTTCTTACATAGACTATGACGATAAAACACTTTATTAAGCGCGCGGCCCCGGGCGAGCGTGGTTCTTAAAACGAGGAACTATTTTCTTTTGTCGCCTAATTCCGGCGGAAGTGGAAAGAAAGAAAATTTGAGAGCTATCGCTGGTTTTTGAGTTTCTTGAGTTGTAACTTAGAAACGAAGTGGTTGTAAACAGGCGGTGAAAGTGCATGTATGCGTATTGGAGTAACAAAAGTAGCTGTTGTGGTAAGTTGGAGATTACATTAATTTTTTTTGTTCGCTTGTTTTTTAGCCAGACTGAGGGCTTAAGTTCGAAATAGAGTGATATTTCTTGTGACGTCGCGAGCTAAGTCATGATCATAGTGGTGCGTGGTGTGCAAACGCGAGGATAACAAAGTAAATTTAAATGTCAGTGTTCTTTAATCAACTACCCCTTAGCTTCCGAGATTTTGTGCTGGAATTTGGTCACATCACTAATTTTGAGTTGCTCTTTCTATTCCCATGGATTATTTTTCGTTGAAATGGAAAAAAAAAAATTTATTACGCAGTGATTATAATCTAGGCAGCGGGGAATTATGTTAAAAGATTTATGACGGAAAGCGTCTTTTTAACCTCTGGAGAGTATTCTTTATTTCTTTGGAAAAGTCTAGTTGATGAATTATCGGAGCTTGAGTTTAACCACTTACCCTTTCACATATCTATTTTTAAAAGAACAGTACATTGTTGTACTAAATCTTTGGAATCAAGTCAATGAACACTATTGCGAAATATAGTCAAGCATTACCAGAAAAAAATGTCAACCAATAAACCAAGTGTCATTTGTTCTGTTCAGGCCGTGGCTTTAGAAGGAACTTGGGACAATATTTCGCGCTTGGTCGCGTAATTCTATTCATTTAAATCCTTCTGCAAACGTCTAAACCTCTCTCTGATTGGCCCGCTTTTAGCATGCACGTGCAAATTGTCCTGAACTAATTCTTCTCTTAATTCTCATCTACTGAGGAAGGGCTAAGCCCGAAACGCTCAGCAAACCAGCTACTATTTGACGCTTTTGGAGCTGGCAGCCTCCTATTTGAGTTTAATTCTTCCCCCGACTGAGTTCAACCCTTATATAGAGCAAAGAAAGGGGAGTACAGACACTGGACTATTTCCAACTTTATTTACGTTATTTACTGTATGTAGCCCGTCTCTCAGAAAGAAAATTCTTTAAATTCAGCGAGTTGCACTTTAATTAATTTTGACCATATTTAGACTACCAAGCGAAAGTTGGGCTCTTGGATTAACAAACGTCTCTTGCAATGAATCATGTCATCAAAAGACACAATTCACGATTTCTGAACAATTCATGTCATCAGCTAACGTCAAACACAGACATTGCCTCTCGTTTGATTTATGATTGCATGCTGGCTTTTTTGTTGCACAGTCAACCTTCCCTAATGTTTTAGCCTAAATGGAAAACTTAGCAATCATGAATCAGTAAAAGGCATCCTAATAGATGACTCAGTTGAGGGAACAGGTATTGGTAACCATTAGCCAGCTCGACGTCCAAATTATGAAAACTATTTTTATTTACCCAAATAATTCGAAAATTAATAAAAGTTCGGCGCACGAGTTAGAAAACTAGAATGACAAACACTCGTTGTGTCGGAGGGTCAGTGAGTGGTCGAAACGACAAGCAAACTGTTTTGAGGATATTTAATGACGGGTTAACTACAATAACTGATAACTCAAATGGTAGACGGAAAAGGAACATGAGATTTCTTAAAAAGCAGGCAGAGACTGACTTAAATTTACACTTACTTTACTGATGACCGTTTTCATATTACCTTTCATTATTCCGGATCAATTTACTTCTAGCATCATGTTTAAACAAACGAAGGTAATTTTTCGGAATTAGTCCAGC